CTCCCCCCCGCGCTACCGATCCCGCAGCAGGTCCTGGTCCCGCGGCAGGTCCTACTACAGAAGGTCCTACTCGAGGAGCAGGTCCCGCTCCAGAGGCCGGAGATATTACGGATTTGGGCGAACCATATATCCCGAGGCTTACAGGAGCTGGAGGAGCAGGTCACGGACACGGTCCCGCAGTAGGTCACCTCTCCATCTCAGTGAGAAAGGTACTTTCCTTGAGACTTTCCTGTGTGAGAACCTCAGACTGTACAGCTTTCTTTAACCAGTCCAGTTCTGCTTTGTCTACTTGCTTTATAGAGCATAATTTATAATGGCACTGTGGAAGAAAACCTCTGGTTATAAAAACGTATTTAACAAACAAACTAGTTCAGAGCACATTTTTTGCCCTTGAACTGAAGCTACATCTCTCAAGGTCTGATGAAATTCATCACAGTTGGTGCTTACATAGATGCAGTGATAATAAACCTGCAGTTTTTAGGCTTGTGTGAGTAGGTAAATATGGATTTAAATATAACACAAGGCACTTCTTTTTTTCCTTCCTCTTTTAGACAAGAGGGAACTCCTGGAAATTGCGAAAGCCAATGCTGCCAAAGCTCTGGGAACAGATAACATCGTCTTGCCAGCGAGCTTGAAGATCCCTCCTCCTGCCAAAGAGATAAAAAATGAGAAACAGGAGCGGGAAGAACCTGGAGAGTCAGCTGAGGTAAGTATGGACAGGAGGGTTCTCACTGAAAAGGTAAACACTTCTTAAAACTTGACTGCATGGATGTGTTCTAGTTTAACTGTGGAGTTTGTGATTAAGAATTCAAACTCTTGAACAACAACTGCTCTAGAAAACCTCTAGACTTTGCCTTAAGCTGGAAGCACAGTGGACCTGAGAGAGGTGGTTGATCCTCTTGAGCCTGTGCAGGCTGTCCAGTAGTGACAGGTGGGGAAGGAGAGGAGAATGTAGCTTGTCCTTTTGACTTACTCTTTTAATGGGATATTGCCCATTAATCCAGCTAGTTTATGTCTTTCTGACCTAAACCAGGAGTCTCCTTGCCAAACCTAGTGAATAGTGTGGGGTTTTTTGGTTTTTTCTTTTTTAAGCTTAAATCTTTCTGCCTTTTTTTGAACTGTTAAAAGTTTTTCATGTGCAACAAACTGTTTCCCAGAAATTCCATACGCAAGCACACAATGCATTTTACATACTTTATTTCTGTCTTATAGAAATCATGACTATGGTTCCAGACATGATGAAGAAAATCTGGTGGTAATTAAGGGACTTGTGGGCTGTAGCTGCTGTGAATTTAAGGGAGGGAGAAACTTGAGCAGCTTAAAGTGAATTTTAGCCTGGTTGTGTTGTAGTGTGTTAACCTGAGTCACGGTAAATACAAACCTGTACATGAGTCAGATGCTGCTGTTACAAATGGAAGTAAATTTACTAAGGGTTTTACACAAATGGTACAGGCATCCCTTTCATAAATATATGCAATATATTCCAGATGTTGAGAGAGTACAGAAGAAGAGGCCTGCATCACTTGCAGATAAGTTTATTGTCATTATCCAAAGCTCTGCAGGATGGTTATGCAGAACTTAATGCCACTTGCTCTGTCACTGCACTCGTGTGACAGTTCATGCTGTGACTGTTTGAGTCCTTATAAACTGTAACTGGGCTGTGGATATCACGTCCATTCACACCCAAATTGGCACAGCCACGTTGGTAAAAATACTGAATGCATTTCCAATTGGGTTCAGCATTGCTCTGTTTGCATATCCAGTAGCTTTACAGCTACTTTTGATGTAAATATCTGAAACAACTCCATACCAGAAAGTTCATGCTCTGTAGTAACTGCCTGACCTTGCATGGGGTGATGTGTCCTCCCACTTAGGCTGTGTGTGCTCTTCTCTAGCAACCCAGAAGTGCAGCAGAAGACATGACCAAGACTGGGATGGAGAGAGCAACCATACAGAGGAGCATTTCCTTCAGTCCTAATGTAAGTGACTCCCCAAGATGCAATTCCAGTACTTCAGCCCCTCCTGTCTTAGGCTTTTCCCAGCTCTGGTTTCCAAATGAGTGATCTTAATCATGGTAACAAAATGAATGTAATGGTTCGATAAGGACTTTTCCTGGAGGAGTTAATCAGTCCTTCAGCAGTAGAGCACTGTAAGCAGTGGATTTAAAACAGGTATTTACCTCTACACCTACTAACAATGACCCTCTGTACTCTGCAATACACTTGAGAGTGATAGAACTAGATGAAACAAAGACTTAACAACTTGAACTAGTTTAAACCAGAGCTTATTTCAAGTACTATGTTTTAGTAATGCAAACTTAGTAACTTCTTGAATCCTTTGTCAGTTAAGTGTATATAGTTGATATTATATCAGGTAGGCATCGGGTATTCCAAGAGCTGGAGAGAAAACATTTATATAATCAGTCCAGATAAATGTACTGGATTTGTACCCCTTAAGGTGTGACAGGTTTTAATACCTTTTCTTACATGAAATTTTTTCTTTTCCAGAACACAATGGCAAAGCCAGCCCTGCAGAAGCCAGTGAGCCATGTTGTTAAGGAGCCAGTAGTTTCTCCAGCAAGAGAAGATGACAGGAAGGGAAGTCCCTATGGGCAGTGGGTTCCTGTCAAGAAGGAGGAGAAGAAAACATTCTTAAACTTCTCACCCAAAAGCACCCTGTTCCGGGCACGCTGATGGGATTCACTGACTGCAGCACTTCACATCCTTCAGTAGAGAGATTGCAAACTTTCTGATGGGGTTGAAGATTTGTTAATACTGAGTATTTATTTTGAGATTTTTAATTTTTGGAATCTAAGGTTTCTCTTTCAGATAGAGAGCACACTGATCCCGAAGCCACAGATGGGAATCTTGTGTATATTTGTAAATATTTTGTATTGCTTTATCGGACTAGACCTTGCAGGTGGGTAACTTTTTCTAAACCATAGTTGAGTAGCTGTTCTTTGGACACTTGGATTTACATTGTGTAACTGTTTACTTCAAGTGAATAAAGTTTAGTTTTGCACTGGCTTAATGTGTGAAGTGTTAGACCTGTGTTATGAGTATGTCCTGTCTGTGATTTAGCTTTCAATTACCTGACTTACCACAAGGTGCAACAGAAGGTAGTTGTTGCATCATAAAAGCAGACCTTTATGCTGGAATAGTTCCTGCCTGGGCTGTGCTTAGTTCAGAGCCTTGAGCACCTTCCCTGGATATCCCTCTGGAAGTGGAAAGCTTGTGCAGGATGTTGTATGTGACTGCCGTAGGGGAAGTCACCACCCTTCTCACTGTCCCTTCTGCTCCTTCTAATGCTCGACTTACTGCAGGCTTGTTTTACTTAGTTGGTTTAAAAACAGCCTCTAAGGGTCGCTGTGAGGCAGGAAGGGGAAGGGCAGTCAGTGCAGGAGGGTTCATGCTGACAGGGTACAGGTTATGCTGCCTGTGATGACTCCACGGCTCAGCCAGACCTCTGCTCCGGGAGAAAAGGATGGGAGAAATCAACGGGCTGTTGCATGGACTTGGTGCAATTGGTTAAACCTGGGTTTTGTATAAATAAATTAGTAAAATAAACTGAATTTGACTATTTGTGTCTGGAAGCTTCTTTGAGGAACTATTAAATGGCCAAGCTGAGGTTGGCAGTGCACAAGGGCTCATGTTTCCCTTGGCCCTCGGGGAGGGTGGGCAGCTCCAGCCTTGGCATGTGACAGCTGGGAAGCTGTTTTTTCATGGGAATGTCACTTTATCAACAAGATGAAAGGTGAGGAGGTAATCTCCTACTACTGAAAAACAAACACCAACCCTTAAATTAGACTAAAGCTGGTCTTTATTTAGAACACAAGATTGCACAAGCTGGTTACTCCTGCAGGTAAAAGCAGTGTTCAGCTGCAGTTACACAAATCACTTCTACTCCATTAAACCCACCACGGATTCCAGCAAGCGACACCTATAATGCTTTTTCTTATAAAATTGCCTGTAGAATTTGCACTCCCCTTGCACACAGCCAGGGCTGTGTGCTGTGCCTCAGACAGCTGTCCCTCTCTCCAGGTTCTGTTTGATCTCGGCCGTGTACTTCCCATAGAACCTCTCTGCCTTCTGGTTGAACTTGGCGTTCCTCTCGTTGATGTAGTCGATGTCGGCGTCGTCGTTGTAGGGTCGCCGCCGGCTGTACTTCTCCCGCTTCTCAATCCTGGGAGGCAATAACAGCACCCATGGGGCACCCCTGGGCCAGGCCTGGGCGTCCCACTGCCCAGAGCTGCTCTGGCACACGCCTGGCCCCGGGGTTTACTCACTGTTTTTCAAGATCCGCGACCATTCTGTCGACCCCGTCCTTGGATGGCACGTGAGTTCCGTGGAGGAGGCTGTCGGAGGTGGGATAAAGAGCTTCCCCGCTGCATGAGGGGAAGAGGGGCAGCAGGTTACACAACTATTGGCTGCTTTGAGATTTCACAGAATCCCAGAATGCTTTGGGATGGAAGGGACCTTAAACACCATTCTTAAACACCATTCTTTTCCAACAGGTCACACATTCTACTAGCCCAGGTTGCTCCAAGCCCCATCCAACCTGGCCTTGGACACTTCCAGGGATGGGGCAGCAACAGCTTCTCTGGGCAACCTGTGCCAGGGCCTCCCCACCCTAATGGTTTGGAAATACCACAGAACTTACTATTGCTCCTTCAGCTTCTCGTACTGCTCCAGGTCAGGTTTGATCTGCCGCGTCAGCCTCTGGTACTGGCGCAGCTGCGCCGCCGCGTAATCTGGGAACACACGGTGTCAGGGTGAGGGGCTTTATCTCATGGTCCAGTTTTCACCCAAAACACCAACCCAGGTGTCCGTTCCGAACACAGCTGCGTGGTTAAGCCGTTACCTGAAAAGCCCAGGTCGGGATTTTTCTTCTTCTTTTTCCTCTCCCACCTCTCGGCGTCCTCAGCGCTGATCTCCAGCAGCTTGACTCGCTCATAGTCCTCTCCTCTCGCTGCACATTCCTGACACAGCACAAGGGACACTTCAGTTTCAACAATGAGCCAGTGGCCAAGCCTAAAACTCAGTTGCATCTCCCTGGATCAGCCCAGTCAACCTCTGGAGCAGGACAATGATTTAGATAATCATCAGCCTAATTAGGACGTGGATTTTGAGGGGGTAACATCAGTGTAAGCTCCCAAGACTGCTGAGCCACCATGAAGTGTCACTGCAGGCACCTGGGCTGTGGCTCCACAGGGTCATGGGGAGCTGTAAAGGTGTCTTTACCTTCTTCTTTTCCTGCACCTTCAGCTCCCACTCCAGCCGAGCTTTTTTAGCTTCCCAGTTTGGTGGCAATTTAAGTCTTTTGTCTTCCTCCACCACTTCTTGGCTGTTCAGCTTGCAAGCCTCATACTGAGAATGAAACAGGGCAACACTTGAGCACAGGAACAACAAAATTAGAACCCTTGGGGGGACACGGGAGCCCCCCTGGGAGGGGGCCTGGCCTCTGCTTCCTGAAAGCACCATGTAAACCAGAATCAGACAGGAGCTGGGTTTGGAAGGGACCTCTGGAGATCATCCAGTCCAAGGCACAGAAACGTGTCCAGGTGGGTCTGGAATGTCTGCAGAGAGGGAGACTCCATGCCCTCCCTCTGCACACAAACAAACGCAGGGCCAAGCAAACCTCCCCCCCCTCCCCGCCATGTGCCGGAGGGGGCTCCGGGACCGATCCGTACCCGCTTCATGTGGAGCTCCC